GCCCCTGCCTGGGCACTGTTCCCTGCCCTAGCAGTGCCACTCCTTGACATCAGAGCCTCAGATAGCTCAAAGTCTGTCAGGACTAGGAGAATAAAAGGACAGCAGGAGAAATGGCCCTCGAGCATAAGGGAAGACATTCAAAGTTGGTAACAGCAAGGAATGGCTGAGGAACCTCCGTGACCACCAGCCTCTTATTTATTTCAAATATTTATTTTATTTTCCAGCCTCTTTTTGCTCTTCCCACCCTTTCCAGGTCCCCCCAACCAAATGATGAGAGGGGCCAAGCCAGGCCTGACGTGCCTTTATTTCTTTCAGTTACGCTTGCGGCTGGAGTGGGGGCGAGGGAAGAGCCCATGACCAGGGCTCCCCGGAGACCAGGGCTGATGATACCAGCTGCCGTAGGTGAGGTACCAGGCAAAGGTGCCCACTGCGGCGCCCACCACCTTGTGAGTATACTGGTGGAAATAGATGACAGTACAGAGCAGCAAGAAGTTCCAGAGGCCCAGCAACAGCACGTTGAGCAGGAAGACGAGGCGCAGGGGCGCACCAGCGGGCAGCCCGTGGGCCAGGTACTTGGCAAACACTGCCGCTTCCTCAGCCATGAGCAGGCAGCAGAAGGTGAGCAGGAAGGTGTGGGAGGAGACCGTGTAGCCCCGCCACTGGTGGCCGGCTGCCAGGCAACTGCGGCGGTCAGGCAGCTCATGGAGCAGCAGCCCCTGGGGCAGAGGCTCGAAGCAGGAGCCGGTCAGGTCCTCGATGAGCAGGAAGGCCCGGCCAGCCCCCCGCCACACGGCTGCCCCCACCACCAGCCGGCTCAGGTGCCGGGCAGTCACTGCCACCCGCCGTGTAGCCAGGAACACCACCAGCAACACGAAGCCCCCCAGGAAGGTGCATGTCCAGCCCCATGCGGAATTCACAAACTTTCTGTGGGCAGAGAAGAGGGGAGATTACTGAAACCCTCTCCCCACTCTGGTCTGTGTTCCCCACTGCTGTCCCCAATCCTACATTTCGTCACTGACTATTTCCTGTGTCTTATACCTCCCACCCCCATCCACTTATAGGCCCAATCAGCCTGCGAGGGTCCATATTTCCTCTTCAGTCCTGCTCCCGACTTCCCCTGGACCCCCAGTACTGGCCCCCTCCCCCTTCTCTGACCTTCTCTTCAACCTCCTAGCCTATTTTTAGTGTCTGGCCTGGCAGGAGGACAGAAGCCTGGAGGGAGCTAGGATCCCAGAGTGCAGGGAGCCGGCGCCCCTAACCTCGAGTGGACTCACATGTTGAAGAAGTTTCCGTGGCTGGCGAAGATAGTCCGAGGGTTGACATGGAACTGAAGAAGGGGCCCAAAGATGACCACTGCTGCCAACCAGGCATGGTACAGGCGCCGTAAGCAGGGGCTGCCCAGGAGGCGGGCAGCCTGTTCACTCCCAAAATACAGCAAGGCAGAGGCCACCCAGAGCAGCACCTTCACCAGGCAGCCCAGCAATGCCCGGATTCGGGCCCTGGCCCCCAGCCCTGCCCCCACCACCGGCCCCCGCTCCATGTTCCCTCCCCTCCCCACTAACTGCTTGCTCTGCTGGGCAGCTGAGGAGGGGCTGATGGGGCTCCCCCCCTGGGCAAGGACAGACAGTGACAGGTGTGGCAGACACAGAGCAGAGCCCTGTTGGCAGCTGGCAGGCGGGGGAGAGGGGCGGGGGGCAGTAAGGGGCCAGGGCAGAGGGCTGCCACGTCAGCAGGGACCCAGCCTCGGGTGTGTCTGGATTGCAGCCTGTGTCCTTTCTATTAACGCTGGTCCCCCTGGTCCTCTAGATCTGTCCCCAGCTCTATGTTCTAGTTCATGTCTTAGGGCCAGGCCTGCTGTTTAGGGTTGTCTTTGACCACAGTCTGCTTGGGTCTGCCTACTTCTGTTTGGTCATCCCCACTCCATCCCAACTTTACTGTGTTTGATTCACAGGGAAATCAGGGGTCAGAAAGATAAAACTAACCAAATCTTTTATTAAAAAATCTGTGTCTCCCTCATCATCAGTGTGGTCCAGCCCCTCTCCTCAGGTTTGAGCACAAGAGCCCGCCACTGAGCATGCAGCAAGGTGGCTATCACTGCACTGTGTCCAATCAGGCCACATTAGGAGCCCATGACCCCAGTGGCTTGGCTCAGCCCCAGCTTGTCTGGTCTGAGGGGCTCTGAGGGGCTCTGAGGGGCGAGTTTGGTCCCAGGGCTGCTGTGTGAATGCACAAGACATTAGATCTAAAGGGGACCCTTATTATGATGGCCAACAGATGAAATTCAAGTGACCTGAAAAAGGCGTACTATATGAGACAGTGATGGCCCAGATCGGACTCTCAAAGACCCAAAGATTAGATTTACTCCCAGGTGATGGGGAAGGAGGGGAGGAGACCTAGAAGGAAAATCCCCAGCCATCAAAACCTTAGGTTGCATCCTCTAACCAATTACTCTGGGTCTCAGCCACATAAAGACTTGGCCTCCCACCCTGGTCGGGTGGCTGTTAGAGTGTCGTCCCACACACCAAAAAGGTTGCAGGTTCGAGTTCGATTCCTAGTCAGGGCACATACCTAGGTTGCAGGTTTGATCAGTATGGGAGGCAACTGATCAATGTTTCTCTCACATCAATGTTTCTCCATCTCTCCCTCCCTCTCTCTTTAAAAATCAATAAAAACGTATCCTTGGATGAGAATTAAAAATAAAAAAAGACTTGGCCTCCCAACCTGACCACTGAGGCTGGAGCTATACAGCAGGGAGCAACTACCTAAACAAAATCCTTGTTATTCAGTAACTGTTTTGCGACCCTTTTGTCTTCCTTCCTCATTCCTCAAAACTAGTGGTGGGACTTCAAAGCACAGTGGAGACCAGCAAAGCAATGAAAGGAATGAGCGAGCAAGCAAGGACACCTGGGTTCTGGGCCCAACTGTATGACTTTGGGAAGACAACTAACCCTCCTTGGTCCTCAGCACCCTCATCTGCAAACTGATCAAGATGGATTAATCAGCCCAGCCAGTGTGGCTCAATGGTTGAGTGTCAACCCATAAACAAGGATGTCACAGTTCGATGCCCAGGTTGCGGGCTTGATCCCCAATTCGGGGAGAGGGGGCTTGCAGGAAGCAGCCAAACATCAATGTTTCTCTCTCTTCCTCTCAGAAATAAATAAAAATATATTAAAAAATATAAAGTTGACAAAGAAAGTTTTCATTGTAATTGTAAATAGTTGTAAAGGACATAATCTTAAAAACTGCCTTGAAATGTGAGGAAAGATGGACCAGAACTGGATGCGAACCCTAGTTCCCCACTGGCTGCACCATCGGCTGCTCTGGGGCATGCTGCATGCCTCTACTTCCTCAACGGTACGAGGGGTGGCTGTGGGGGTGGAGCGCCCAGATGGGGCCTGGCATCAGTGACCATCAGGTTCTCTGGCTCTGGGGGATTTTTTCTTGTAGACAGACCAGTTCATGCAAGTGTGCTGACCTAAGATGTGCCTATTTCCTGCTCTCTTGATTTCTGCTTGCTGGGAAGTTTCTAAGTTGGTGAGGGACTGCCTATTAAAAGGCCCAGTTAAATGATTTTGGTATTTCCTTACAGTTTGGGCATCAAAGAGATGTTTTTTTCCCATAGAGCAGCAAATCTGAAGGCTTCGTTGAAGCTATTTTCTTGACTTGAGAGTATAAAAGGCCTCAGATAGGAAAAAGACAGAGAGACACCGAGCCAGGTTCCCACAGAGAGTTTATTGAGGGAGCCAAAGCCAATGAGAGGACCAAGGAGTCCTACTCAACATCCCTCCTTGAAGCCGCTGGCCTCCGCAAGATGGACTGTCCTGGGAGGGAGGGCCTGCCCTGTGTGAGGCCACATGGAG